AGTATTGTCGTTACTTTTCCTTTTTTATTTTGAAGCTGTCGGATATGGTACTGGGCTAAAGGCAATGTCACACGACTGGTACGTTTGTACAGATTTGTACATTTTGGCAGTCACAGTGTTCTTTAGAAATTCGGGTTCAGCTCGATAATGCCGCGTTCCTTTATACATTCCGGATAATCCCATTTCATAGCCATTTCACATATCATCAGAAACGTTCTAAAGAATAAGTAAACAAAAAGTTTATTCCAAACGTTCAGAATGAAAGAAGAATAAAGAAATGCAGCCTAAAAGAATTTCCAAACAACACTACTCTGTAACTGCCAAAATATACAAATGTACCAATCGTGTAACACTGGCTTAAGAATCTCATCTAGAGTAATCCAGTAAGTATTGTGAAAACTATTTTATGTCTTTAAAGTGTTAAACACCAATTTGATATGTGATTTTAGTTAAGTATGCAAATGAATTCAACAGTTACCGAGTACAAACGCTTTATTTTCACTCTGTATTTTATATAAAAACCAAAAAATATTAATAAAAATTGTCAACGATCACAATTAAAAGTTCAAACTACCATTTAAATTTAAGAATCGAAGAGATATTAAAGATTGATACTTTGATACTCAAAATTTTTTTTCATTATGCTTTTGATCCATTTTAGAAAATTTTGGTGATACATTTCTTCTGAACGCCGCGGCAACACTGTTGCCAGATAGCACTTTTGGAGCTAGATTTAGCTCTTTATTTTTCTATTTAGCTTTGAAATTTGGCTCTTAGTTCTTTTTAGATCTTTAAAAAATTATCTAGAAGTTTTTAGCTCCGGAAAGTTTTAGTTGTATTTGCGAATATATTCAAATTACAAGTGTTGACTAAAACCTATTTATTTGTGGCTATATGGCAACTCAGAGAAATTCGATACTTTTATATAATTCTATTTCGATTAATATTTACAAAATCACTATTCCTAATGTAAATGGAATACCAGCTAATGGAAAATGGACAGGTAGTTCATTTAGTTCCTGCTTTAAAATTGATTTTAGTTATGATTACTTTGCAGATGTTTAAGAAATCGATCTACCAAACCGATTAACAATGTAAGCGAGACCACACAAACTATACCGGAAAGTGATTCGAGCTCCGGACAAGGTAATAGAGTGAAAAACAAAACTTAAGACAAACATCGATATGCAGTGAAAAAGCGTAAACACATATGTACATATGTATATTCGTATACACGGAAAAATGCCGACTCCAATATTTACTTTTGGATCTAAATTAAAAAACTCATGAAAAGAAATCCCTATTTCTCCCACACCAAACACAACCTATTCTCACAAGTTTGTACGCAGAAGCCACAAAAGACTTGGTTTCACAAATTAATCCCAAAAGATATAAAAATCGGTAAATAGAATACTGACTGGTTACACCTAGGGTAATGAATATCTACATCGTATATATAAGTGTGATAAGCGCCAATATTTGTAGCTGTGGCGCTACTGATTACTATGCCCATCAGACGCTCCACTGCAGTTTACTTGCAAATGTTCGGGAGGGCTTCGAAGTCGTCCACAACTGCACTGATTTTACCGAGATTTTTCGTGGTTTCTACTACCGCAAAATCACTGAACTGGCCAATTTTCTAACAAAAGCCGAAGCCGAATTTTGAAATAATCATAGTTACCACAGGTGTTAATACCGTCCACCTCACTCAAATCCTGCCCCACCGCATCACAACCCAACTACCACACCTACACCTTAAGCTTCCAAAATGTCATCCTATATGTATGTATACCCAATATACAAACGTCAACATCATCAAGGCCAACACGCACAAAATTATCGCTGACGTTTGTAAACCGCTATTCAACCGCATAAGCCAACTCTCACACTTTCACATTCGTCTTCACTGTGGTATCATCCTTAGTCACACGAAAATGCATTAAATTGCAGAAATCCGCTGCCGTTTTGAAGGATACATCTCCGGTTATATCATAGTATGCACACACGGTGCTCAGGTGCACTTTCGTGTAACCTTTTGCTACAGACCTATTAAAGCAGAGGGATAACCTGGCGTTGGGGAAACCTGCCAATCTACTCAAATCTAAAAAAAAAAAAAACAGAAATCCCTTTTCTCAACTTGCAGATAATGTCTACGGTAAATGTTATCAAAAATAATGGTGCATTTACATCGAATGAAGCCACATGAACAGTTTTATTGCATTGTTTGTTTTTGAAAATTAAAAGAACGTAAACAAACACATTCAGAACAAGCAAACGCTTTGTAGATGAAACTTTTTAAGTTGAGGCAGCCCTCATAACAAAAATAAAAAAAATCCAAGCAAGCAAAATCTTCGGTAGACGGAGCCAAACGTCGGGAGACCAGGAAGCTGCACAGACTTCCCAAAAGTTCACCGCTGGCTTTTACCAGCGATGAAGTGAAGGTGGCCATCGAGAAGGCGAAAGCCTCCAAATCCACTGAACCCGACGAAATTCGCAAGCTGATGCTGTGGGAGTAGCATATTTCACCGAGGTCCTCTAATCTGTCAATGGCCACTTACATCATTCCCGATGTGTGGAAATCGGGGAGAGTGGTCCCACTGCTGGAACCTGCCAACAAATAAGACTCGTATCGCCCGATAACGCTCCTTTCCCCGGTCGCGATGACACTTGAGGCCCTGCTATTCACGTACTTTACACAATACCTGACCCCAGTGAAGCATCAGCATGTTTCCGTAAACTGCACGACACAACAACAGCACTTAACACCATAAAAACCCTGCAAACTCGTAGCCTAAACCGTAACCTAAACCGTAACCGCCCCTGTGGGAGAACAATCGTAGTAAAGCTGGACTTGTGAAAGGTGTTTGACACCGTTTGTCTTTTCACGCTACCAAAAGATATTAAGGCTTCCTCCCACAGGGACTCAAACGGCGGTCGGCGAATTATATGAATGGTCGACAGTCGTAAGTAATCTTCAGAGATCAAACCCCGGAAGAATTAAAAAAGGGGTTCCACAGGGTGGAGTCCTCTTCCCCTTATTGTTTAACTTCTACTTCTCGAAGCTCCCTCAGCCACCGAAGGGAATTTCACTGATCACACACGCTGACGACTGCTCTACATTGGCGTCCGGAAAGGGAATTGATGACCTCTACTCAAAAGTAAACGCAATATCCGAGATTTCTCGCTTCTTCACTGCAACGAGCCTTACTCTCCACCGAAATCAATGGCGTCCCTCTTCACCACCTGAATGAAGGAGGTCACGCTTCAATTAGGCATACACGTCGATGGCACATTAATTCCGAGGGTGAAGAACCCGAAAATTTTAGGGGTTATCTTTGATGCGCTCCTTCTCAGCGCACACAGTCGCAGTTGTCAACAAAGTACAGAGGCGCAACAAGGTTCTCAAGTCTCTCGCCGGCAGCACCTGGGGCAAAAACAAAGAAATTTACTGGCAACATACAAGTCAATTGGCCGGCCGGTCTTACTTATTCTGCGCCTTTTTGGTCGCCAGGGAGCAGGGCTGCCAACTTAGCTCAAATGGCATTTGATTTTGCAATTTGGCACAAAGTGCCTAAATGGCACTTGAAAAATAGTAATATTTCTATACATATTAGTGGAATCTTTTGCGTGCACATCCTTTTCTCAACTCAAATTTTTTAATTTCTATAGTGCATACAACTGGTTTGTCTTACTTTGGCATTAGACTTCTGATTTAGGAATGTGTTTTTAATTTTAATGCTAAATTGGAGGAAGAATTAAAGAGAATGGCACTTTTTTTTGGCACTTTTATTTTTTTATTTGGCACACTTTGGCTCTGTTTTATCCTCAATATGGCACTTCATAGCTAAGTATGGTTGGCAGCTCTGCTGGGGAGTAGTTGGACGCAGTGGACGAAGCTGCATACTTGTCCGAACGCCGCACTCTGGACATAGACTACACAGGCCCAAATGTTCACCGTAAGGGAGCATAACAAAATGATCAGTAAGCAATTTCTGTTGGAATATCACATGAGTGAAAACCCCAACAAACCCTTGCTAGAGGAGGACCCTCCGCCCGGGCACGTCGGGCGGCAGCTATTCATTTATAGGTCGCGCTCCAGACTTACATCAACTAACCACTAGATCCGACGACGCACCGACGACCGATCAATGGCATACATAGGGAGTCGGTCATAACCTACCACGACTCCTGGCCTATGAATGCCGTGATCGGGGCCCAATCACTACCTGTGTCAGACATTCAGCTTCAACTGCTAAGAGATGCTCGCGCCAGTTTCGGTCTGGATACTGAAGCCGCATCAACAGCTACCTGTCTAGACTCGACCCCAATATCCACAATGAGTGTCCGGCATGTGGAGACTCCCCGCACGACACCAACCACCTCTTCACATGTCATAAATCCCACTCAACTAAGACCCCTCTCCTTTCGGCCCGACCCTGTTAAAACTGCCCCTTTCTTGAGCCTACCGTTAGTTGAGCTTGACGACAATGATTGATTGATAAACGGAAATAGGCGGGGATTAGTAGTGCAATTACAACAAAAAAAGGAATATTTAAATGCAATGTACTTTAAAAATATTAAGGGCCCATTATAAAACTGTGCATATTTTCGGATTTTTAATATTTGATATTTTTTCCCCCAACTTTGACAATCTGTGGTTAAAAAAAATGTACTGAACTGCACAACACAAAAAAAATGCACATTTATCGCACAATATGAGTGACTCGTTCATTTTAGATATAAATTTAGAAATAAATAAATGCAGGTAAAGTTTAGGCACATGAATTATATACATACATTAGGGAAGACAACTCGTGGGGAATTCCCCGGGAATTTCAGTTTGCGCGGGGAATTGAAGAATGGACCGTTTTTGTGGGGAATTTCAGCTCGTTTAATTCTAGTATAACAAAGTTTCAAATGGCTAAAAATTACCGTTAATTTTTTAGAATTTTCTTTGCATTTGCTTTCATATAGCGAATGAACATAATTTATTTTTATATGGAAGAAAAATGCGCAACAACTTAGGAAAAAATCCTAAAACGGAAATTTTTAGCCATTTGAAACGTGCACTTTATTATTCTAGAATTGAGTGGGCTACAAAAATGCATACTCAAAATATTTATAGAAACTCCAATGAAAAAGCTCCAAATTTTTACGAAAGTTTGTTGATTTTTTTCAAATATCGCACAAAGTCTGAAACTTGGATTTATACGGGTTTTGTTAAAGAAAATAAACTATATTTTTATAAAAAAAAAAATAACTCAAATTAAATAAAAAAAAATAATAATAATAATTGGTGCGAGTAAATTTTTTCGACCCTGTATGTATGTAAATATTATCTGCATAAATATTTTTTATTCTTTATTTGTTAACTACCTTTACAAAAATTTAGTTTGGTTTATCAATACATAGATTAATTACGTTTAAAAATAAAATAAACAGAAAGACCAGTAATATATCAAAATACATAACTTTTAATTTTTTTTTTTGTAAGTATGGAGATATCTATGGGTGGGGAATTTTACGACATTTCGAGCAAAATCGGGTAATTTTTGTTTACAAGTTCCTTGCTACATTCGTCTGGCAACACTGACACCGAACTGACGCGCATTTTTCAAACGGAAAATTTATCTGAAAGAAATTTTTAGAAAAACATCTAAAAAACCTAAAATTCCTTATATAAACTTGATATAGACTAATATTTTCTGATTTCAGTCATTATAAAACAAAAAATCCGAAACATATAGGGAAACGACCCTAGATGACCGGGATACCTACGGAGCCCGATGGCTCCTGGGCAAGTGAATCTATTTCTAATGCAAAAAAGAAAGTCAAACTTGACTCTAATGCAGGCAATATTATAATAAAGCCGCTAATGAAGTAAAATGAAGGAAAAGATGACGAGCAACTTAAATATGACACAGAACATGGAGGACATTTCGTGGTGTATATTGACAGCAGATGCAAGGACCAAGAAAGAAAACCAATCAATGCCATTACCATATCAAATGTACTCAAGAAATTCAACCTAGATGGAATTGACGAAGTAGTAAAGGTGCGATACGGTAGAGTGAAGGTCGGATGTAGGTATGCAGAGGTAGCAAACAGTGTTTGCTACGATAGGCGACTTAAGGACAAGGGATATGAACCAAAAATTTTACAACATTGTTTGTCGAAGACGGGATTAATCTTTGATATCCCCACAGACATTCCAGTCGAAGAACTCCTACAAGACTTAAAGTCTTCGATACCTATTATGAAAATTATTAGAGTAGAAAGGAGGGATGGAGAAGATAAGGAAAAGAAGATACCAACCAGAAGAATAAAAATCTTTTTCATGGGCCAGAAGCTGCCGAGTCACATATACTATGCATATACAAAAATAGATGTAAAACCCTTTATACCTCTGACACAGTGCTACAGATGCTTTCGGTATAATCACTTCGCGCAGAATTGTAAGGAACAACTGGAGAAATGTAAGAAATGTTTCCAAGTACACTCGGAGGAGGAGCAATGTAAGAAGGTAGTGTGCGTTAACTGCAAGCACGAGCACGCGCCAACATCTAAAGATTGTCCGGCTCGTGTATAAGCTTTTATTATAAAAAGGACAATGACTTTGGAAAACTCAACATATGAAGAAGCACAAAAATATTGACAAGCATATTGGGAAACAGATTTGAAATATTGTACGGTTACAATGAGCAATTCCCGCCTATACAGAAGAGACCCAGAGACTTCCCAATGGAAACAAGAAAAGACACAACAGCATATATACATGAAATTCTACCGTACAATAAAGTTGTAAAATATAACCAAAACAGAATAAGGGAGGAAATGAATGCGTCTAATACGATGCAGGAATGGAGAGACGCCATACAACCTATCAACTTAAATGAAATAAGAATTGGAACACAAAAAATCAAAGACACGCAGGACAGTTTTAATGAATTAAATTTAGCTATAACTAAACATTTAACGTCAAATGGAAACGAAAGATTAAACCGCAGCACAATTGAATTATTTAACAACATCCGCACAACAATCAACAAAATTAATAACATATTTGATAGCACTTTAAGAACAAATAGTACAAATACTAGAAGTTTGGGAGACAACAACAACTTAACATAAACAACAATTATGAAAATACTACAACTTAATGTTCAGAGCTTGAAGAAACTAGGAAATAAGGAACTGTAAGAATTATTTTTACACAACAATAGCATCGACATCGCTATGCTTTCAGAGACATGGTTTAAGAATAACTACGACACAAGCTTAGCTGAATATAACTTTGCATACCAGAACAGGAGCGACGGATATGGAGGAGTTGGAATCTACATTAAAAAATACATAAAATTCTCAATATTTAATATACGCTCTGAAATAGAAAGTATTGGAATTAAAACTTTAAACCTTAAGAAAAATATAAATATCATCAGTATATATGCACCGCCCAGCATCAATAACCACGATTTCCGAACTGGAATGGACAAAATTTTTACATATACAAGAACACTAAGAGAAACAACAATAATCGGTGGAGACGCTAATGCAAAAAACTGAGCATGGTATCAAGGCATTACCAATCGAAAAGGATCTATACTGGAAAACATAGCAGCAGACAATGGTTTAAGATGTCTGAATGACGGATCGCCAACATTTTATATCAACCCTACAAATAAATCAGCAATAGATGTGACTTTTACAAATGATAATAGTAATATTTCATGGAAAACAATGACAAAACTAACCAATAGTAATCATACCCCAATTATAATTACACTAGACCAGTCTTACCAGACAAAACCAAGCTTAAAAATACTACATAATAAAATCTTATCAGAAATGAGTTCGTTCAAAGTGGGAAATTCTCTACAAGAATTTACCAATAACTATAATAAAGTGATAAGAAAGAATACAATCCAAGTGCAAAAAAACAAATATGTACCCAAAATTTGGTGGTCGGATTTGTCTCAAAGGCTCTTTAGACTAAGAAATGCAGCAAGGAAAAAATACTATCAATTCCCTACAATTCCAAACGCAGAACTAGTAAAAATAGCGGATATCAATTTAGCTGAACACGTAAAAGAACAAAAAAAGAAAAGTTTTGAAGCCCTTACAAAAGACATATCGAATCCAAGCAATATCAAAGAAATGTGGTGTAAAATAAACAATTTAAAAAAGTATCAATGTGAAAAAAAGATTAACAATTCTTGGAGCAGTCAAGATCAGAACAAATATCTAGCGTTCATCACTCGTACACCTATTAACATTACAACCAACCAAAACTCAAACACAGTAGCGTGCAATAGTAATGATCATGATGATATGTTCAAAGAATTCAATTATGAAAACTTTGTACATTTTTTACAAACGAGAAATCTAAAATCAGCAAAAGGAACCGATCTAATTTCGTATAAAATGCTAATGCAATTGAGAGAGGGGGGAAAAAGAAACTTATTTAAAATACTGGAAGATATATGGATTACAGGAATAATACCGGAGAAATGGCGCGAAATTAAGATAATACCTATTTTGAAAAAAGAAAAGGATAAAATGGACATATACAATTATAGACCAATATGCTTAATGTCGGTCCTAGCGAAAACGGTGGAAGGTATCATTAAAGTATATGTTGACAAACATATCAATGATAAGGCATTAGTCCCCGAGAGATCCTACGGATTCAGAAAAAACAGATCGACGACGTTGTGCATCAATGATTTAATTAATTTGGTGTATATTAAGAAAGAAAAGAAGATGTATGTTATGGCGGGTTGCATAGACGTCGAAAAAGCATACGATTCGGTGGATATAAATATAACAACATTATGGAAGAAACTGAGTTTAATGACAAAGTAAGAGATTGGATAATATCATTTCTTAGCCGAAGACTGGTTGTACTTGGACAACAAAAGGCAATAACTAACAACGGTTTGGCGCAAGGAAGCGGGCTAAGTCCAACATTGTTCAATATCTACACAGCACAAATACATTCTGTAGCAAGTGAAAATTGTGAACTATTCCAATATGCCGATGATTTCTTTCTTGTATGCACACATAGAAATAA